GTAGGTAGAACTTCTTCAAGAAGTAAGCACTTCTGTTTATATCAAATGTAAACCATCACAGAAATCTATGACTGGTCACAAGGTAGAGAACAGCAGACCAATGGAGCCAGGTCCCAGTGGATAAATCTATATCTCAGCCTTTGCATCTAGAGACTAGAATATCTCTGAAGAGTGAGCAGAAAAAAATTAAAAGCCAGAATACTAGGAATTATACTGTGAAAATTTTTCTCCTAGAAATGGTTGAACTATCAAGGTGGAAAATGGCAATATCAATGAAGATTTTAACATGGAAATGGGAGAACTGTGTAGTGTACCACCTAAAGAAATCAAATGAGTGCAGGGGGAAGGAGAATCAACCTCATCCCCAAAGAGTGGCACTTGTGATTTTTTGTTCAATGCAGAATATTAATCCCTGAAACCATATATATTCAAAAAAGAAAATTGTACTTATATGGTTGTTTGTGTTTGTACATCCATATACATATATATGTATCATTAATAATCAAAGTAAAAGCTACATTTTTGAGTTGATGGGTACATAGAAGGTGTTTAAGGGAGGGTAGGTAGAAGGGGCTGGAGGAAGGAAAAGAAGAGTGATAATGATGTAAATTCATAAAAACTGAAAACAATATATGTATGAAAACATCACATTATATATAAAGAGCACAGTTAAATATTTGACATTTTAGTTGGGATTTTCTTTCTAATATAACACAACACGGAACTTCATATATTTTACAGTCAGCATCATATGTTACCTGACTATGATTCATTTGAATCAGCTGATTATTACTACATTATTTGTCTCTTTGTTGAGGACTATTTATTTTTATTTTTCGTTACATGTCTTATTTCCACACATACATAGTTTCATTTGAGTAACTCCCAGCAGCCCCCTTCCTGAAAGCTATGGCTCATAAATCTAGTTACTACCAAATTAATTTTGAGTAAAGAAAAATACAGAGACATGAAGAAATAGCAGAAAGTTTGGAGAAGTACATTGTTTTCAGTGTAGGATGTGTGAAGCTAAGAACAAAACATGCAAAATAAAGAATAGCTTTATGTGTATAAAGTTGTAATTGCCATGAAAGGTATTGCCTGGGCTTTTCTCTTTCTAGCTAAACCTTAGTATAATGTCTGTCATTAGAGTGAGAGAAGGCTCAGAATACAGTATGTCCATAGATAAGGGTCTCATATCTAAATATCCTGGGCGATTTTTCTCTGTGACCATGGGATTCATAGTTACTACTCTTGGTTGAATCCTGAATACAAGATTAAAATTCCTTCCTTAAAGCTATTAACACACAAGTCTAATATAAAATAAACTCAAGGGAATTTGAAAGAAATGGATTTCATACTGTTTTAAAGAAGTGGACAGAAGAGTATAACAGACATTAATTTTTAATTGTGAAATCTTTAATTTTAAGATATTGTATTATAATCCCATCATTTACTCCCTATATTTCTTCCTTCTGAACCCTCCCTCCTTTCTCTGTAATTACTCAGGACTTCATTTAAAATTGTTTTCACATTCAAAATACTGAAAATTTGATGAACTAGTATGTGTGTTTTCTGAGTATAAATAGAAATAAGTGAATTGGAATGAATGAATATTTTCAGTGTTCTATAATGTCTTTCAGAAAACCAAATCCTTAAGAAAATTGTGCATATGCTTATACTCAAGCAACAACACAGGGAATTTCCTGGCACATTAATGCCAGAGAGAAGATTAAGATGAAGGAAGAAGGAAATATTTAAAAACTGTCTCAACTTGACCTCAACATGAACAGATGAGGCAATTGCCTGGAACTGAACAGGAAGCCAAAGACACAGGGAAATGTTGAGGTTTGGTAATCTGAGGTGATTTGTCACTCAAATGAAAATAAAGAATATTAATTTTCAGACTCTCATGGTTGAGTCAACCTTGTACTTTGAGTTTCAACATGTTTTAAAAACAGTTCAAGTCTCTTTTGCCACAAAATGGGGTAAAAATATAGATATTAATCTGGGAACTTAGAAATACACTGTATAATGAAAATGTGTAAATGACAGTTGTCAAGGGATATCTAGGAGGATCTTGATAAGAACAAAAGAAAAATATTATCAACCATAAACATTTTGGAGGAGAATGACTACCTCCAATCAAAAAATTTTACGGTCATTTTCCGCAAAACGGTAGCACCATTTACAGTTGTAACAGGTATTTAAGAATGGAAGCTGAAGAAGCTTCAGATGAACTGATCATGTTAAGGTCTAAGAACTTGGATATTGGACATAGGACTTCATTTAGAGTAAGCATCTATGAGTGACTGCTTTATTCTAGGATTTACAAAGAGGTGGAGAGGAGAGGTAAACTTGATTAACCATTAGATATTAAGGCTGTGAGACATAGTGGTGAAGTAGTTAACAGAGAATGCTTACGCTTTTACTCCAGCAATGACAGTGGGAATGTCCAGGGCATATTCCTGCCATACAGAAGAGGAAAGGGGATAGAAGGAGAAAATGATAAAACAAATCTCTTCTGATTTGAGACCTACCTGAAGGGATGATGATAATGGAATTTGATGATATGGGAATCCTAAGCTAAAAGCACTGCTTGAGGTGGGGTACTCTTGAGATGATTTGTCACTCAACTGAAAATGAAAGAATGTTGATTTTCTGAATCACGGTTGATTCATTCTGGTGATGTTTAAACCATTAAACAGAAAGCACATCTCTTTTGTAATGTAGAATGTTACAAATATAATTATTAATTTGAAATATTAAAAGAAAACTGTTTTCTTAAAATTATCAAGAAGCATACTTCTGGTTGGTATTCTTTTTTTAATTTAAATTTTTTCCTAATTTTGCTTTTTACATAAATTTTTATTTAAATTAAAATCAATATTATTTTACATACCAATCCCAGTTACCTCTCCCTCCTGTCCTCCCATTTTCCCCAGCAACCCCCTACCTCACCCCTCATCTACTCCCCAGGTAGGAAGAGGCCCCCGATGAGGTTTCACCAAAGTCTGACACATAATTTGGGTCATGACCTAGACCCTTCCCCCGTGTATCTAGGTTGAGAGAGTATCACTCCAGAGAGAATGGACTCCCAAAGGTCATTTGTAGACTAGAGATAATACTGGTTCCATTGCCAGAGTCTCCATAGACTGCCCAGGCCTCCCAAGTGACACCCATGTTCAGATGGCGTGCTTTGGACCTATGCTGGTTTCCCAGTTGTCAGACTATGGTCAGTGAATTTCTACCTGATCAGGTCAACTGTTTATGTGGGTTTACCTAGGAGAGGTGAGTATCAGGCCTTCTCCTGTCTGCCACCCCCCTTGGAATCCAGTGGGAGATGTGAGTACCTGGCCTTCTTCTGCGCACCTTCCCCTACTGGAGTACATTGAATTGAGGCCTGCAGTCTCATCCTGACTACCAAATCACCAGAGATCTGGGGGCAGACTGAACCATCTACCATTTGACACCATGGGAATCTTGAAACTATACCCACTAGGAGAGGTGAGTGCCAAGCCTTCTCCTGCATAACTCCCTCATTGGACCTTCACCTACCAAGAGAGTTGAGTGATGGGCCTTTTCCTGTCCACCATCCCCCTTTGTAGTACCCTGAATTGAGGCCTATTGAATCATCCAGAGACTTGGGGGCTAACCAAATCATCTAGCATCTAGCATCTGGAACCTTAGACCTGCACCTTGTAATATGCCTAAATTACTTCAAATTCTATTTCACAGATACTTTTTCATCCATATTGATTGCTACTGTATTCACGACAGCTAGGAAAAGGAAACAAATTAAATGTTCTACAGCTATCTAATGGACAATAAAATAGTGGCAATATACACTTTGTAATAACATTACAGGATAATGAAAAAAGGAAATCATGACATTTGTAGATAAATTGTAGGCATGGAAAAGTATCCTACTTAGTGAGGTACCCCAGACCTAAGAATACAAAAGTGGCATGTTATGTCTCTTGTGTTATTCCTAGCTCTAAATCCTCAGAGAAAACTAAGACTCATTTGAGACCTTGAAACTCACATACATGTAACAATATTTACTGAAATAAGAGTTCAGTAAATTGAAAGACATGACAGGGTGAGCATATTGGAAATATTAGAGGGAGGAAAGGGAAGTGAATAATGAAGAAAATATGTTATAATCTCAAAAATAAAAATAAAGATAATAATGTGATTTAATTTAAAGAAAGTGTCATAAAGGCTGGATAATACCTTATAATGATGTATTTGGAAAACAGGTTGTCAACCCAAAATACCAATGGGTGAATGGTGTGTTATTCCATGTGTTATAGAGGAAATCCCTGGAGGATAAACAGTACTGTAGAATCCTGGATTTCTTCTTGGTTGTCACTGAAAATGGATCACAAGACACTATGGCTCAGCAAAACACAAGTCTTGGTTTTAATGTGTAAAGCCTGCAACTGGGCAGTGAGTGCATTTGTTTAGCAAACATAAAGCAATATTTTCAGCCTGAATGTAGAGCCCCTTGTCACAATTAGTTTTGTTAATGTCATTAATTTTATAGACTGTTTCACTTGATTTTGGTTCTTTTAATTAATGGTATTTTTATTTATTTCGAGGAATGGGAGCAATTTTCCTACTGTATGTACTGTTAAGCTTCAACAACTCTTGCAGCACTGTACCATGATTGTTGAATTCAATGTACAAGAAGAATAAAGTAGTCAATGTATGGAAAGTCTTTTAAGAAGCACAGTGACCTTTACTCAACAGTATAGTTCTGGAGGGAAAAGTATTATTTAAATGCTCAAAAAAGTTAGTTCTTTTTTCTGACAGGAATGGTCAGTTTTCAAACAAACATAACCTGACCTTAAGGCTAATCACATTAGTTTTGAGATATGAGATCATACATCATTTGGCAGGGCCAAAGAGGAAACACTAGACAGATGTAGCTTAGTGTAGATGAAACTGGTTGGTTCCGTGAAACTCCCTCTAACTATCTGTATAAAAAGCTTTGTCAGTTCAGTTCCTTCTCAACCACTAACCTCTTTGAGCTTCTGTGGAAGAGCAAAGTCAGACACCACCATGGTAAATTTTCTGCTGCTGGCTTTGGCCTTTAGTCTGGCTCATGCTCACGATTTTGCAGAGGTAAATTCATTTGCTCTATTAATATATCTTAGCTTCATCAACAGCATATTTCTGTGGATGTGACACATCATTCAGTTAGTCCGTGTAAGACTATATTTAAGAAATAAGTTTTCTGACTGTCACAGAGGTACAGTTTACCAATCAGAATTCTGTCACTGAAACAATTGGAATAAGGAAACAATGGGTGATATTTGCAGAGCCTAAGAGGGCAAAACATGAGCACTTCTGCAAAGTCTCAGGTCAAAATGATCTATGTTGATTGAATCATCATATTACCCTGAGTTATTCTACATCCCTAGGAACTTAATCTTGAACTAATGAACAAAATATTATTCATTGACATTTATAGTGAGTTTACATAATTCCAAGAACTGGGAACAGAGATGTGAATTTATGCCACTGGTATATAGTTTTTCTTTCCTTCATTTGACTTTGTTGCTTTTTTCAGCTTCAAGGAAAATGGTATACCATTGCCATTGCTGCTGACAATCTTAAAAAGATAGAAGCAGGAGGACAACTGAGAATCTACATTCGTCATCTTGGTTGTAATGAAAAATGCAGTGAAATGGAAGTCACATTTTATGTCAAGTAAGCAAATTGTCAAGCTTGTAAATTGAGCAGACAATTTATGCATTCTGCAACCTTTATGTTAAGCTTACAGGGGCATGTTCTGTTTCTGGTTGTGAAAATGAAGATCTCATCTTTAGCACTGTGATAACCTTATTCCATGATGAGGCAGCTATGAACATCACACAGATGGTCACTGTCTCCAATTTCGTGAGTGTTCCCTTATAAAGCCTTGTGGTTGGAAGCATGTTGTTGAATGTTATGGTCAAATATTGGATGCAGGAGAATCTAAGCTACAAATTTCTAGTAAGTCATTAGGAATATGTGAGCATTTGGGTAAAAGCTGCGCATATTATGTTATTCAATCGATGATGTCATGAAATAGTCCTCCACAAACAGTCCAGATAAATCTAATTTGGGATGCCCGTTCTCTGAAGCTCTAGAACCAAATATTCTCTCTCTGACATTTGGAAAACTATATTCATTGAAAAACTGCATGACACCATAAGAACAAAAAATGCTTAGAACTATTTCTATTTTTTAGGTTACAAATAAAATTACTTAACACATGTGCATAATAAATTGTGTAATATTATATCATTGGACAAGCACAAGAGAATATTTGAAATCATATACATTGAATAATAAAGCTTGCAAGAGAGAGATATTAGAGCCTTCATAGCATTAACAAAATGAGCACAAATGAAGGAATTTATCTGTATGATTAATAACATGATGATACTTTCTAGACATGTTTTAGGAAAAGTGAGGTAAGCATACATATTTTGGTCCTAGCTCTGTACAATCTTAACAGATGCTAGTGCACTCTCAAGTTTATTATAACACTTGAAGGTCTTTAAAATGAATTCAAAGTTTATAAAGAAAAAATTATGGTTTCTTTGTTTTATTTTTAGTGTGAACAACCAGTGCTCAAAGACCAAAGTCACTGGGTACTTGCAAACAGATAAAGACTACCAAACCCAGTGTAAGTACAGGATCTGTGTGTTTCCTTTATGAAAAAAGCAATGCTGATGTACATATTCATGTTGATACTTCAGACACCCATAGGTGCATGGATTTAGAACAATTTTGGCTACTTGTAAAGTTATCAATCCTTCAAATGCACTGAGATATGCTTCATAGTCAGATAACATTATAGGTCATCTGAAGTTTACGTGGAGAAGAACACTGTTACAGAAAGGTGTGAATAATCGTAGAAAAATATCTCCACATAGTTTGAATGCATGAAAATTTATTTCCAGTTAATATTCAGAAGCTTTTCTTTCATATGTTGTCTCAGATTGTTACTGGATATATCTGCCAGTCACTAATAGGACTCAGTGGCTTGAACATCTTTGCAAACTTCATGCCTCATGTCCTCAACACTTATATTATGGGTATTGTCTGTCATTCCTGATTTCTAGAACATTTAAATGAACAGTACCATTTCTAAGATTATTTCTCTCATAGTTTGTAGAGATCATAACATTTAGATAATCAGATGATAAATTTCAATTTTAAAAGGCAGTTAGTTGAAAATCTGGTTAAGAATTTCAGACTGAGTACTTCAAACTTTAAGATTTACTTAAACAATGGCAACACTATTCAACTGAATCAATCACAGTTTGATGTTTAGTTTGATTTAAATGAACAGAGGGCACATTCTTGGGGCAGGTCTCATGCTCGACTAAATTTGCATGTATATTAAAAAAGCAGTCCTGCAATATAAAATGAACAACCCTATAAATCCTTTTATTTGCATGTGGAACCACTTTTCTCATTTAATAAATGTCAGAGAATGGAAATAACCCATGCATGCTTGCATTCCAATGCGCACGTACACACACACACACACACACACACACACACACACACACACACACACACATACACACACACACACACAGGCATACAGAAACAGATAGACAGATAGGCAATTGTACACAATAGCAATGTCTGTCAAACTCAAAAAATCCATCCTTCCAAGTATTCATCAATAACCTTTCAAGATGACATTTGTACACATGACAAATTACTATGTTCTATTTTTCCACATGGAAACATTTGCCCACTGAGTATTTCCATGGTATGGCACCAGATATTTACACTTTGAGGAAATCAACAAGTGGCCTTTGGGATCTGGTTAAAAGCAGACAGAATATCCAACAGATTGTTCCCAAAGTTTTGACACAAGAAAATCAGAGAAAAATGGAAGTATCCGTACTTAGGATTCATATCAGATTTGAAGAGCAGAAATGTTTGATCAAAATACTTTGATGAAATATGCAAAATGAAGGACTACAGTAATAACTTTGTACAATGTGTCATGTTTCCTATGATAATAGATAAGAGATGATTGCTAGAGTCTGTGTCTCCATTAATGTTCAGCAAGCAAAGCAGAACAATCAGTGATACTCAGTTTTGAAATATTTGCTTTATTACAGTTGAAGGTAACAATAGATTTCAACCTGTGTATATAACATCAGACAAGATTTTCTTTACCAACACGAACGTGGATAGAGCTGGCCAGGAAACGAACATGATTGTTGTTGTTGGTAAGAATGGTAGTGGGTTCTCTGAAATAGTAGCAGGGTCACTGAAGACTAGGGGCAACAGCAGAGGCTCTTGGGAGAGTTTATATTCATGCTTCCTCAGTGGAAAGAGTAAGGCAAATATCATTTTCCCAAAGTTTAGACCATTTTGAGCATTATTTGATCAAGTGTGCACTAAATTTAAACATGATCCTTATACTTTTGGTTGTGAACCTAGCCTAACCAACAGTGGAGAGGCTACCTTAAATGCCCTTCCCCGATATTGTGATTGATGAATTCCTTGTATGCCATCCTAGAACCTTCATGCAGTGGCTGAAGGAAGCAGAGTCAGACACCCACAACTAAACACTGAAGTGAACTCCTGGAACCCAGTTGCAGAATGGGAGGAGTAATGAGCAAAGGGGTTAAGACTTGGCAGTCATGGAAACAGCTGAACAGATCAAGATGGGGCTTATGGACCCAAGACTGATTGTTGAGAGGCCAACATGGGACTGATTCAGACACCCTGAATGTGGCTGCCAGTGAGGAGGCATCTACAGTCTTTGGGGCCTCAGGCAACAGATAGCATTTATCCCTGGCATCCAGATAGACTTTGGGAAACCATTCTACAGGAAGGGATGCTGTCACAGCCTGGACACATGGGGGAAGGCCTAGGCCCTGCCATGGATGATATGACAGACTTTGGAGATCCCCAAAGAATGGCCTCACCCTCCTTGGAGAGTGGAGTCTGGATTGGGTGGAAAGTTGTGGCAGACTTGAAGGGGACAGGGGAGGAGGGGAGGGAGAGTGAGCGGGGATTGATATGTGAAGCAAGATTGATTCTAATTTAAATTAAATAAACAAACAAACAGAACCCATGATCCTTAGTGAATAGACTCGGGTGAGTTTTGAAGGTTCCATTGACATGCATTTTTGACTCTTTGGTGACATATTTTTGAACATTTAGAGGATTAAGATGAGTGAATTCTATAGAAAGGTAGTTATTCTTTTTTGGTGCATCATTTAACAGTGGAACATGATGTCATACCACAAGTTAGAGTTCTTTCAACGTGTCTGTGAAACACTGGGAAAATTATAATTGTAATTGACTGTATTGATCCATCCAGGATAGGTTAATTTGGTGAAGTTAGGATTTTTTCCATGGCCAATAACAGTGGGACACTAAGGAAGCAATGTCAATTTTGCCAATTTCAACTGACCATGCCATTGACATTGTCATTCATGCAATGTAGGAAAAGGTAATGCTTTGACACCTGAAGAACATGAAAAACTTGTGCAATTTGCTCATGAAAAGAAAATTCCAGTGGAAAACATTCTCAATATTCTTGCTACAGGTAACTTCAATGAATATCTTTTAGCTATAATATATATATAAATTTACATATATATATACATTTTGAGTCTATCTATCTATCTGTCTGTCTGTCTATCTATCTAGTCAGATGCCTGATTCATATTGTATATAGTCTATTGTCTTTTAGGTGTCATTTCCAGCAATAATCATTGGGGAAACTGTTCCTATATACTTATAACACTTCTGTCACTCCTTACCCCACTCCTGTTCTTTTTCAGATACTTGTCCTGAATAAAGGCCTTCTGTAGGTGAGTAAAAGTTGAAGGCATGATAGCCATACTGATATTTGAATCGATTTTTCCTTATAACAAGAAAATTAGAAATAAGTCTTGACAAAGGATGAAAAGAACTCAAAAGTAAGCAATATAAAGAGAGAATATCATTCTTCTTTTAAAGCTGAAAATGTTACAATGGTAAAAGTGAAAGGTAGAATAATTTATGTATAAGACAATATTAAGTTCTTTTATTCAGAATTGATAATATTTTTATATTTAGTAAATTTCCATCAAAAATGTCACTTGTTATTTGAAAAATCTTACTTTACTTATGATTGTGAAATATAATTTGTCACAGATACGCCACAAGCATGTTTATACTTTCAATATATTCTGTGAAACCTCAATCTACATTTTCATGTGGGGGACACGGAATGTCATTATTCACTGTAGACTGTGCTCATATAGAATCCAAAGTACAAGGTATTGGGAATTAACAGGAAATGAGCTGTTTGTGTACAATCACTTCTGTATACTCTATAATGAGATATCTAATTTTATATTCATGCACTATTAAAACAAAGTCTATGTTCAACCATGTTTTAATTTTTGCTTTCAGCCGGGCGTTGGTGGTGCACGCCTTCAATCCCAGCACTCAGGAGGCAGAGGCAGGTGGATCTCTGTGAGTTCGAGGCCAGCCTGGTCTACAGAGCGAGTTCCAGGACAGCCTCCGAAACAACACAGAGAATCCCTGTCTCAAAAAACCAAAAAAAAATATTTTTGCTTTCATGTTGCCAAGGTGAGAACAGGATGGCAATTATGCATCATATCCTCTTGATCATGGAATCAGCATCACAAATAAATCACAATTTCATTCTACCTAAATTGTCCCATGTCCTGTAGAGCCAGGATACCACATATCAAATTCCTGGCTTAGCTTTCTTTTCCCATCACATGATGTATTAGCTGTTCTTACTTTTTTGACTGATTAAATAAATTGTTTCAAGAAGCAATAAATGCCTCGCGAAATGTATCTCATTCAAAAAGCCCATAAATAGTCACTAAGATAATTAAAATAATCACTCTGCTGTAACAAATGATATCCGCATCATTACAAACTATTGTAGTAATTGAAATTTCATCATTCCTGGATAGCCATGGGCAAGAACAGTGCAGAAGTGAAGTTTATGTTGTGTTCCATATTTACCTTCAGTTTTAACTTGAGATTTGCAGTTGAATGGTTCTAACACACTGAAAGAAATTGTATAACAAATTCTTTGGTTCTTCCTCCATGTTCCACATTATTGAAAATTGAGGTTGAATTCTGTTTTCAAAAGTCCATCTGACAAGATTATCTTTTGTTAAATGATTTCAGTATGTAAATCAATCAGGATATGTTCAGATGGTGTACATATGAGTCATTCACAGTTGAAGAATAAATTCATGAGAATGGTATTCCATAGACACCAAGCCCTACACATATACATGAAGATATTACATTTTTCTGCATGTATTAAAATTATTCCTTAAAATATAGATAGCTATGGTAAAAGAAAAGAAAGATGCAATCTTCTTTGAGGGCTTGGATCAAGGAAAAAGAAAAGATATTAGTCACTGTTGCTACATTCATTTTGTATATTCAGTGTACATTTACATCATTTACACCCTCATTTTAAAACTAACTACTTTATTTATGTGCCCCTTAACTTTTTTCCAACATCAGCTTAAGTATACACATTTATTTGAATGTATGTATGAATGTGTGTGTGTTGACAGACAGAGAATGATATTTATCACTCAGCTGTGTCCATTAGTGTTTCTCATATGTATATTAGTTTAGTGCTGGCTCTTTGGAATTCAATTACATATAAGTGGTCACGTTTTAGAAATAAAAATCATATGGGTCCTTCATTTATTATTAGAAGTTGCTATCTAATCTGCTAAGTGTTTACATGACATGCAAGTCCTAAAGCACACCATTCACATATTTACTTCATGACTAATATATACACAATCTGAGAGGTCACTCAAAAGTGAATACTTGAACTTACATCCTAAGTTACAAAAGGTAAAGCATGCTTGGTTTCATAAAAATATCCAAATACCAATATTCTTTTTATCTACCAGTACACTTTCTAAGTGAACTCTGAATGGTAGTTTCTTCATTAACAATCCTAAAAAGATTATTTAAATATCAGTTTAGTTGGTACTACTCTTCTTATGGCCAGGTTAGACTTCCTTCATCAAAGCAATTGCAGAATGTAGTATTTTTTGCAGATACATTCTCATAACAGTCTGACGCCTCCCCAGGATATAAGTTTTGTAAATTAACAATGCACACGGATCCATATTTCCCTGTTTCCCAAGTAAAATAAACATCAAGAAAACAAATTACTCCATTTCAAAATGTAGATTATAAAACTAAAAGCATATTCTCAGAAAGTGAAACACAACCTTAACCATCAGGTAAAAGGAATTAAAAGTATGTATAGATTTTGTCTTATTTCTGTAAGAATGACGATCATCATTAAAGAAATGATACCACAGGCAAGTGAGGATGCAGAGAAATGACTGTACTTGGTTCTTGATTGTGGAAGTAAAAAGTGGTTCAGCCTCTATCAAAATAAATGGAGACAATAAGAAAAATGCAATATCAGTCTTGCCACAAGTCCTTCAAGGAGGAATTTCATGCATACACTTTCAACATTTTATTGTAAACATAGAATATGAAGGGTCACTTGTAAATATATTATAATTAGACAATATTTATTTAATCCCTATTATGGAACACACATCCATACACATAGTCTCTACCCCTTGCTTGTGTGTGCATGCACACAAACAGAGAAAAACATAACTGGTGATTACAGTGATGAAAATCCTGAACACAATACTATTGAATACATCCCCATATCAAGGAGATCATCAACAATTATTAATGTGGCTTCATTCCGGTGATAGACTTGGTTCTACACATAGAATTCTATAAATAAAATAAGTAACAAAATGTAGTTAAGTCAACAAAACACAAGATAAACTCATTAGATAAAGAACAATGCTTGTGACAATATGCATCATGCTTCCAAGATAAAACTCCCAGGGAGAGTAGGAATGCAGGGAACATAATTCAAAATATTAAAATCGTTCTCTAGCAAACCTGCTGGCTACATAATCTTATATGTACAAAACCTGAAAATAACCCCCTACAGTCTTGAAGAAGACAGGGTCCCCACTATTCCCAGTCCTTTACAATATTGTTTTGGAGGCATTACAGTGAGCAATAAAGGAAGTGAAGGAAATTAAAATAACACACTTATGGAGAGATGCTTGTAAATTCTCTTGATTTATAAAATGACATATTATAACTAAGACATGCCAAAATTATACCAGAACACATGTATGAGGGTCAACAATTTCAGCAACATTACAAGGAAAGAATCAGCTACACAATGGAGTATTACTCAGCAGAAAGAAACAATGGAATCTTGAAATTCGAGGGTAAATGGATAGCACTGGAAGAAACCATCCTGAGTGAGGTAACCCAGTCGCAAAAAGACAAACATGGTATGTACTCACTCATATATGGATTTTAGACATGGATCAGGATAGTGCCAGTCTGCACTTCCACTGATAGAGAGTCTGGGAAACAGGAAAGAACCTAAAAGATATGCATATATGCATAGTACCCAAGAGAAGAGGATTGAGACAAGATCCTCTGAATGGATGGGGAACACGGCGAAGGGTGGGGGGAAGTGGGAGCTGGGAAGAAGAGAGGGGGTGAAGAGGAAGAGAGTTGGTCATGGGGGAACAGGAAGTTGAGTGGGTGGGGGTAGAATAGGGGGAAGAGGGAATCATAGGATAGAAGGCAGATCAGGCACCAGAGTGACCTCTAGTGATCTAAAGGGATAACACCAATTGGCAAGCTAAGCAATAGTGGAGAGACCACCTCGAATGCCCATTCCTGATAATGAACTTGATGTCTATAACCATCCGGGAGCCTTCATCCTGTGACTGATGGAAGCAGAGGCAAACACACAATTAATCACTGAAGTGAACCCAAGGAACCCAGTGACAGAGAGAGAGGAGTGATAAGCAAATTGGCAAAGATTGGGCTGGCAAAACCAGCAGAGACAGCTGATCTGAACAGGGGAGAGCTCTTGGACCCCAGGCCGACAGTGGGGAGGCCAGCATGGGACTGATCTGGACCCCCCAAATGTGAGTGTCAGCGAGAAGGCCTGGGCAACCTATGGGGCCCTGAGCTGTGGATCAGTGTCTATCCCTGGTATACAAACTGTCTTCGTGTGCACAAAGAGGGATGCTCTCTCAGCCTGGACTCTTAGGGGAGTGCCTGGACCCTACCCAGAGTAAAATGACAGACTCTAGATATCCCCTAAGTGGAAGGATTTGGCAATAGGGTGGGAGGGTGGGGGGAAGGGGAGTGCGGGAGGAGGGGAGGGAGAGGGAACTGGGATTGACATGTAAAACAAGCTATTTAAAATTAAAATAAAAAATGATATATAAAAAAGTCAATAGCCTTTCCTTTCTTTCTAGATTTTTAAAATTTAAATTGGAAACACTCTTATTTTGCATGCCAATCCCAGTATCCTCTCCCTCCCTTCCTCCCATGCCTCCCCAACAACCTCCCATCCCATGCCCCTTCTGTTCTTCAGGGAGACCTTCCATGCTGCATCATCAATTGTGTCACATCATTTGATACAAGGACTAGGCTCTCTGCCACATTACTAGTATGAGATTATCCCTCTTTTGGAAATGGGGTCCCAAAGTCCATTCATAAACAAGGGATAAATATTGGTCCACTATTATTGGTGCCATTGATGGGCACGGTTCCTAACTGACACCCACAGTCTTGGGGGCTTGTTCTGTCCTATGGTGATTGTCGGGATGCCAGTCTGGGGTTCATGATTTTCACCTTTGTTGGGGGAATTCCTGTGCATTTGTCAATAAAGTACTGTTGAGCCTATAGGAAACCTAGATAGGAGGGACTAGGAGTCCAGGAGAACTCTGGGAAGGAGAAAGACAAGAGAGTCGACATGTGACGCCATGGGGGTAGGAAGCCAGGAACTATTCTCCGGTAAGAAACATACTTAGATTAACAATTATGGGGTAATTACTTAAGGCAGAGCTAGCCAGTAATGGACAAGCAAGGCCAACAGCTTCATAATTAATATAGCCTCCTGTGTGTTTATTTGGGACTCATGCGGATCTCGAAACAGGCTCGCGCGGCAGAGCCCAGGCGACTGGCAGGGGATAAACCAAAGCGGCTAGCAAGGAAAAAGCTTCTCTTAACACACCTTGTTCAGTTCAGCTGTTTTGTGGGTTACCTTAGCCTCATCCTGACCTGTTTGGTCAGCACTCCTCCCTGTATACAAATGGATTCCAGGCATTTGGCTCAGTGATTAGCTATGGATCTCTACTTCTGCTCCATCAGTGACTGGATGAGGGCTCTAGGATGGCATATAAGGTAGTCTTCAATCTCATCATAGGAGAAGGGCATTTAAGGTAGCTTCTGCACTATTGCTTAGATTCTTAGTTGGGGTCATCCTTGTAGTTCTCTGGACATTTCCCTAGTGCTGAATTTCTCTTCAATATTATAATGGTTGACTCTCTTAAGGTCTCTCTTTTCTTGGTCTCCTCTATTCTTCTCCTGACACAATCTCCCTTCTCTCTCATGTCCTCCTCCCCCCTCCTCTTTTCCTTTCCTTTATCTCTAATTCCCTTTCCCCTCTCCCCCATTGTCCAAATTTGCTCAGGGGATCTATTCCCTTTCACCTTCTACAGGGGACCCTTTATGTCTCTCATAATGTACTCCTTGTTTCCTCTGGAGGTGTAGATTGTAGGCTAGAAATCCTTTGCTCTATGTCAAAAATCCATTTATGAATGGGTATATATCATGGTTGTCTTTGTGTGACTGGGTTCCCTCTCTCAGGATGGTTTCTTCTAGTTCTATCCATTTTCCTGCTAATTTCTTTTTTTTTTTTTTTTTTTGGTTTTT